GTTTTGTTCTTGACCACTCTGGCAACCCTAGTCCCTGACCAGATGCATTTCCTACCTGTTCGACAGCATGATTGCGAGAGCAGTTATCAGGCAATTACGGCACCTCTAAACTGAGAGACTGATCCAAAAAAAAATGGAATCGCACAGCTTTTGCGCCCGCTAAACCTGTGTGCAGATGTCTTAAAAAGGCAATGTGTAATTTACAATACACACACAAAGGGTTAACTGCAACCCTGTTGAAGAGCAAACTGTGTCTCTGTGTGCCATTGCTGTCTGTGCATATTTAAATGAGCCATTATGCATTCATTTTGAGTGAAATTGGGCCCTTTCTATGCAAATCCGCCTCATTGCTAAAAGCATCTAATTCACACACAGCAGCGCCACCAGCCACGTGCTGTTAGCATGGAAAGATCACCGTCTGTTGAGACTTTAGGTGATAACTGTGCCGCTGTATTTATAAGACATGTCATGCACAAACGTTACTTGTGATCATGACAATTCCACGTACGTATGACTTAGAAATAAATGATCTGTAAATAAAGACTGTTGACATTATTTTAACATTAATATTATTAACATCACCAGCCAACCGGGGGTTAAATCATTCTGGAGCTTTCCGCAGCTCATTACTTCGTCCACGTGCGCTCTGGAGTTTCCCATGACACAGACGCCAGTGCTGTTTCTTTTCGAGTTGTCCTCTCTTGCTCCATTCAAGGGAGGAAGCTTTGTTTTAAACGGTGAAACTCACATTACACTTTCAATCAACGTGAAAAAGTTTCACTGAAGTGGATCTGAGGTGAATATTAAGAGTACTGAGCAGAATATGATAAAAGCCGTGAGATTTTTCGAATCATCAATAGCTCTAGAGTCTAGTTTGCATAAATATAAGCACCTCAGAATTTTAAGGAGTTGTTGTTTCATTTTTTTTTAAACTAAACAAATGTTGTAAAAGGCAGTGGTTGTTTCTAGAGATGGGACAGATCCGACCAAACATCGGTATCAGGTCCGATATTGACATAATTTACATCTCTGACATCTAAGACTTACAGCGCGGATCCAAATCACAGATCAAGAAAGATCGTTGGGCGTTTTAAACATTCTCAGCTCACACAGTCTTGCTTTGAAGAAATTCAGACTACAAGAAGTGTCCACAAATTGTCTTAATGACGACGTTCAGACGAGATGGTGATTCTGATTTTAAAAAGTGAGATTCTTGCACTTCAGTTTAAAATATTTCATTTGAAAGCAGTTTTACATTTATCTCTACATAAGAAATACAATTTACTGTTTACTACATCTTTATGTTGGCTTACACTTAATACCAACAACAACAATAACACTATTAATTAAGAGCAAAATAAATATTGGAATCAGGATCGATATCTGTACAGATGTTTTTGGATTGGATCAAAACTGAAAAAAAGTGGATCGATGCATCCAGACATTGATGGATTCTTCAAACATATCAAAATAATTGTCACGCAGCTTTTTACAACAACATAAGCATTGTTAAAAACTCCTTGATGGTGTTTTGTGTTCAGGGTTGGCTGCAGTTGTCAATTTTTTGCCGTGGGAGTGAAGTGTGGCCATCTATTAGCTATTTTCCACGGCACTGAGCAGAGACGGTTATGTTTCTTTCAGGAAATTGCTCAAGCTAACGATAAAGAGCCGCCATTAAGCAGTGCTTTCATTGCTTTGAAAACCAAAAGAGACATCTTAGCTAATGTTGCATGTGCATGCTAATTGCTGAATTTTAAATTGTAGCAAAACATTTTGGAACTCAACATCAAGTGAGCATTTCCAAAGTCTCAAAGACTTTGGATATTAAGTGGTTAATCATTAGCGAAAGTCTACTGTGTAAAATGTGTACCAGTTTATGTACCCATTCAGCCCAAGGCCTCAGCGTTTAAAACAGATCAAGAGTGCAGTCTTGAATTATTCCACTCATTTGTATTGTCATAATTAATGTTAGTCTAAGAACATACTCACAGCTCCAACCACAGCTTCCTCCATCTTGTTATTGTTGATTTAAAGAGGTTGCTATACTGTCAGAGCTGGGATAAGCCACTAAAAAAACATCTTGGGTTTTTAATCATTGGAGGGTACCCAGTTAGCACTTGTCTCAGAAACTACTCTGAAATGAATTGTCTGAAAACATCTGCAAGTTTATGTTTTGTTCTTGGTTTGCATAATTCTAGAAATTTAGGAATTTAAACAGAAGTGAAGGGAAAGGCTATAGAGCCTTAGCTTTACTCCATCCATTATCTTAAACCGCTTGTCCCGTTCGGGGTTGCGGGGGGCTTGAGCCGATCCCAGCTGTCATTGGGCGAGAGACAGGGTACACCCTGGACTGGACTGGACGCTTGACTTCATTTCATCATTTATTTTGTATTCATTTGTTGTTCCTGCTCTTTGCTTTTAAGACTAACTCAGTTATTCCTCCTTGTTTACTTGATGTCATGGTAAAATCAACATTATCCACATTTAGAGAGCATAATTGAATCTCTGCAATTAATTCTAAACGTACTAGTTTGCTGGCACACCTTTTCTTTTTCAAAAATAAATTCCTCTCCCACTGTCGTTCGATTTTCCCAATCTTGCATGTGGTTGTTACACAGTGTGATCGTCTGTGTGCCAATATGTCTATCTGTCTGATGTGAACCCAATTGCCGAGCCGCTGCAGAGGCTTGTAATTTCCCCTCTCTTAGGGGGAAAAAAATTGCAGGGCTTTGCATTCGGCTGACGTCAGATAGCGATATGATCCCTTTGACGTCAGAGGGTGGGCTCTGGGCGTCATTTTTGAGTATCGTCTGTGTGGGTTGAAAGCAGCAGCCCCTGTGGTTGTGGCTTACACAGATGCTGATAGTGCAGCTGCTCCCGTGTCCACACTGCTTCTCACAAGGTCGTGCATATAAAAAAAACTTTTATATGTATTCTTCACATACTTATTAGCAGCCTTTGATTACAGATGCATGCATAAAGTAGCTCTGTGTGATCTCAGATGTTCTTTTTTTAATTAATAATAAACAAAATGTTATTTGCTTTTCAACAAGCCAAATTGACCACAGTGTAGTTAGACAAAGTACACTGATATAATTACTAGAGCCCGACCGATTGATCGGCCAGCCGATAATTTTGGTCGATATCAGCATATCCAGTGACTATCTGTACTGGCTGATTTTAATCGCAATTTCTTTGAGTTTCATTGTATTACACTAGCCGTTCGTTTTCACCAGCAGAGGGCGCTAAATGGATTACAAAAAGCGGTATCACCCTATAGAGTGTCAAGCGGCGATGCAGGTCCCACCCCAATATCGATATCGGTATCGTCCCCAAAAAAATCCCATAACGGTCGAGCCCTAATAATTACAACACTGTATTCAAAACTGGTATTCATATAAGATTAATATATATCTGAGTTTCTGTATCAGAGACAGTCCCACAAACATAATCAATACCCTACATTGCAATGCATCGTCAGGATGAAAGAAAACCAGAAACAGCCTGTTATAGATCACTGAGTGTAGGATAAATTGCAGGGCTATAATTTCAGCTCATTCGGCATCATTTTTCTTCTGCTTCTTTAAAGCCTCCTGTTACTATTGCAGTGCCTACCAGGTTTTCCTCCTCGCAAAGAACATAATGTGGCAGATGTATCCCCCTAAATTTGCAGAAACTCCTGACAGAATGGTTTCTCTGTTGCTGAAGGTTAATAAAATATGGCTTCCCATTTATGTGGATGCAAATGAAGCCCATAGCTAGCAGATTTGATCAGCCTTGGCTTGCTACCTATATCCTGGCTGACTTTGTCAAAGCAGCTGTTGAAAGGTTCCTTCATGAAAACTGGGGACAAGGGAACAACCAATAACTTATTTGGGATCACATGCAAAGATAAAGGAGAACTACTTGTCTGCAGTGGTTAGATGAATGTTTTCATAGTTTACTTTGACTGAGTGAAAGGAATATCAAATGGAACCTAACTCAGACCGGAGGTGGTTTAGTGGTTTGGTTTGGTGTTGCAGTAATCGAGAAGTTATTTACAAAACTGATAACCCCCATAATGGACAATTAAGCATACGCCCATGCTTTAGAAACATACTTTAAATTGCTATTAGCTTTGGTGCCCAACTGTTGTGGGATTTTTGGGTCCGATACCAATATCCATATTAGGGGGAGAAAAAAAAAATCAGATACCGATATATCGGCCGATATTTTTCTTATATCTATCTTTGATCTGTAGAGATGAATATAAAGAAAGATTTTGACATTTGTTGTTTTAATCCCTCAAAGGCAGTAATCAAACACTTGTGGAAAAGATATATAATGAAGACAAGATGGTCACTCAACTGGAAAATAACTGCGCATATACGTGGATCACTGTTTGACACTCTGGAGAGTGATAATGCTTGTTGTAATCCATATAGCGCCCTCTGCTGGTGAAAGAGAACTGCTAGTGTAATACAATGAAACCCAAATGAAATGCTTTTTGACTGGTGAATTAATCTAGTACTATCTGCACATATCTGCGATAAAAGTAGCCGATACCGATAGTCAGTTGACATGCTGATATCGGCTGATATTATCGGCTTGCTGATTTATCTGTCAGGCTCTAATTAGCTTAAAAGCTATTAAACTTGCTCAACTGTCATTTCTAATCAACGGCATCCTTCTACTACACTATAGCTCAATTAATGTGCATACACTAAGAAGTAGCAAGTCTGCATGTGTTTTCTGGGAATCATAAAGTAATGGTGAGAAACATGGTGCTCCTGGGAAATGTAGGGAATCATTTACAAAACAAGAGATGGATGAGTGAAAGTAAGTTTATTAAAAAAGTAATTAAAACAATTCATCACCAAACAGCTCATGTAAAACAATGTCATACATCACAGATTGTTAGTATCTTATAGTGTGGGGCTGTTTTAGTCTTGTAGCTGCAGTTTATTGATAGTATTGGGTCTCAGCTCATTCATTTATTTTTTGCCATGTTGTCTTTTCAGATGGGATCAGTGTGACAGGCCTGCCAATCTCCAGTCCACTGCGCCAAGTCCTGAAACCCAGGGCTGAGAACAAGTCTGTCAACAGTGAGTCGGGCAAAGCAGAGTACAGCCACATTAAGGTAAATAACAAAAGCCTTTGCAAAGTGAATAAAAAAAACAAGCTACATTTTTTTTCCGTGCTGGATCAAGATGCAAGTAGTTGTTTTCTTTTTGTCTGTGTTTAGTTTGATGAATATGCTTTCTCCCCCTGCTGCAGTCTCACTGCACCTTTCTTTGAATATGTAATGAAGAGCTCGGGTTTGGACTCTTAACTCCCTCTATCATACTCTCTTTTCATAATAAGCACAGTGTTTACATTGTGTGCTTCAGTTTTCAAAGGGTTTTGCATTTTTACCTCAAATCTATAGCTTTTGGTAGACGTGTGCAGGGTCACTGAAGGCCTTGTTTTGACAGTGTATTCTACTCTGCCAAAAGCTTGCGGGGCAAAGTGATGTGGGGAATATGCGACTACGTATTGCTAGTAACGTGGCTCACAATCTGGGGGCTAAATTAAGCGCACAATGCAAATACTAGGATACTAGGAAAGTGTATGAAATATACTGATGGCGGTTCAGTTATATTTGCTGAAGCATTTCCACAACATTTTCAAATTAAGATTGAAGTGGTGATCATTTCTGCACGAAGCCCAAAAGCACAACTACATTATTTATGAAACTCGATATGCCGTCAGGTGATCTAAAGTTCTCTGTGTGGGAGGCTGTAAACATTTATTTTACTTATTTTCTCTGCACTCTCCTTTGCTATAATATCTAATGTGTGCGTAATGAACCCTGGACAGTCACTGAATTGATAACTGTAGGCTCAATTGTAGGGGCAGCTGTGGCTCAGTTCTGTTGTCTCTCGACAGGAAGGTTGGGGGTTTGATCCCCAGCTCCTGCAGCCACATGTCTGATGTGTCCTTGGGCAAGACACCTAGTCCTGATTTGCTTCGTCTGCGGCGTATGAATGGGATTAGTTACTTCTGATGGTCACTTTAAATAGAAACCTCTACCGTCAGTGTGTGATGGGTAAGTGTGACATGCGGTGTAAAAGTGCTTTGAGTAGTCAGAAGACTAGTAAAGCACTATACAATCTCAAGTCCATTTACCATTTACCTTAGGTGGCACCAACACAGCTGCATGACAGTGTCGATGTGTATGATTCTGCATGTGTTTTTGCGTATATTGGACAGATCTGCACATTAGAGCGAAAGCACACGACGTAGAGCTTGGTGTTGGAATCAGGTGACGTTTTTTTGGTTATGTGCAGCGCGAGCAGAATTCTCCCTGAGATTTGCAATTATCTGCTGTAAAAGGTAGCAGTGAGCATTTTCTTGTATTCTGACATCACCAGACCGTCCTCATGCTGAAAGGAAAAGAAAGATAACACGAGATGACCCTCTGTGCGCGATTGAAATGCATAAGCAAATGCAAACATACGCAGTGCTTTCTTGTGACTGTGAGGGGCAGAATGTAATCCCATATGAAACTAATTTATATGCTGATCTAATGCACCCTCTAAATAGTAGAACCATACTGCTTCAATGATTTCAGACCAGGTCTCAGTTGCTTTATGGTGCTGCTGCTTTCTGTGTCCTCAAGGTAGGAACGCACCACCTGCAGTATGCGCCACAATTCATTTTAAGACCAACACACCTATGGGCACTAATCTGTGCACTAGCTAATTTGTATTTTACCAAACCATGTCGCTGCATCAGGTGGAAAATAGGAACAACACCTGCAAAATAGGAATAACTCATTTTGTGTCAGGTGTGCAAAAGAGCAAGATTGAATTGAAACGGCTGGTGCCTCGCCTTGGCTGCAGATGTGCTCTGCTCTTTGATGTGCTTGTTTCAACAGAAACGCCCTGTTAATGCTTTCTTAGACAGAACAGAAATGATCAGAAAGGCAGGAGCTTTCAGCAGGACCTCCTGCCTCTCATGTTTGTTTCTAGGATTTGTCCGTCTCAGTCGGAAAGGCTTTAGAGCTTGAAATCAGACGTGACTCTCCGAGCAGATGCACTGTCAGTCACTGTGGATAAGATGGATGAAGGAAAGATGGTCATACATTTTTGAGAAGTTGTCTGACTTTTACTTGGCTAGAAGGTGATTCCCTGTCCTTCAATTGTTTGCCCCCCCTCTCTCCCATCAGCAGATCCCTCTGTCCTGCTGTTTGCCAAAGTAACATGACCTGCTTGCAATGGAGCTAGTGGGGAAACCCTGCTAGGATTATTACTTTCTCTATCCACCACAGAAAACCTGTTTACAGATTTGCTTTTAAACTATAGTGAATGTATTCTGGTTTTTCAGCTCCTTGACTCATCAACATGAACTGAATTGTTTTCAGCAGTTTGGCTCAAACCTCCTGAGCTCTTGGCGCATGCTGGTGTCTGAAGGGCCGACAGGAACTAGATTAGAATCAGAATCAGAATCAGAATCGCCAAGTACATTTACACATACAAGGAATTTGACTTGGTGTATTGGTGCTAAACAATTAACAATGACTTTGGATCACATTTACATCCGTACACCAGCCACTATTGACATAGAAACAGATTCCTCCACCCTTTTTTTTTTTCCCCCGGAAAGTTGTGTGTCTCGATCCGCTCTGAAGAGTTGGAATCCTGCCAGCTGCAGCGCAGAGTCCAGTATCGGTCCACACAGCCACGTCTCCGTGTTACACAAAGCACAGGATGTATAAAAGTCTCTGTTTCTTCCCATCAGTAGCTGAAGTTCGTCCAGTTTGTTGCACAGTGAGCGCACGTTGGAGAGAAAGATGCCTGGTAGAGCAGAGCGTAGTCCACGCTGGCGGAGACGTACGAGCGCGCCGGCCCTTTTCCCTCGCCTTCGTCGCCTCACAGCATTTTTTTTTTTGGAGCAGAAGTTCCCATATTTGATGAGGTTGGAGCTGGAGAGGAGCGACAGGTTAGCAAGTTATCAAAAAAAATGCAAGGGCTGGTTTGATCAGCATGGTTGTCCTCTACTTGCCATCATAAAACTGTCAGGTTTAAGGCACTGGGGCTTTGGCGTCTCCTTACACTCCCAGGGACTGTGGACCTTTCTATATTTACATTTGGTTGACACAACTCTGATTCCTACTTCACAGTAAGCCAACAAAGAAAAGGATTTTCACAATATATAAAACCTTAAAAACTGCATTCGTCCTTTCACAGTTTTCTCAGAAAGCGGTCGTCCTGATTCAGTTTAAAACAGGATATGTTGATGTGAAGTTTGAAGACTCTCTCATTGCGATCATCTTTTTAAGCTTTGTTTCTGCATATGTTACAGCACTTTTTGAATGGGCATAATGTTAGTGTGTTGTGAATCTTGATTGGTCAGTGTACAGTATATGCATGGTGGAAGGAGGTAGAATTTATATTAGCTCTTAATAACTGTTTTTGGCTGAGATGGACGGATGCACAGATGCTCAGGAAATTGAAAACCTTCTCGCCAAATTTGCTGGCAGTTAAAGCCGGGTGTTTCCTTGATATTTAAATCTTATGTGAGCCAATTAAATTTGAATTTGGCCAATATTTTGACCACCAAAATCAAATTTGCTATTGCTTGGTTGCACACAAGTTTTCTTATGTGATCTGGGAGTGCTGAATCTCTTGTTACGGCCCAGGCATGCCTCGGGATGTGTTCTTGCAGACTATGAGTAAGTGTGATCAATCATGTTTGATCTATAATCAGCGCAGGAGGAGTCAACATGTTTGTCTCACTGACCTTTCCACGTTCAATCTTAGCACTCGTTTTTCAGTCCTCCTACTGAATTGCGGATGCCTGCAGGCTTGAAAACTATGTGTTGTCATGGTGCCACCTCAGGTGAAGGCGGTTTTGTTGGATTTGTCAGTTAATTACACATTTTCAATGACTCATTCATATGATGTGCGAGGGGGCTTCCAGAACTTCGACTCTGTCACATTTTGTGTCGCTCCGTCTGCTTTTTCTCTCAGCTTAATGTCATAATAGAGCTGCCTCTGTCAACCAGGGGTCATCACCTCTTCAAGCTCTGTTGTGATGCTCTTGTCAATAAAGAATACCATGTCTTTGTAACATCAACAAAGTTCCACTTTGATTGTCACCGTTTTAAGTGTCCATCTAGTGACTGAAACAGCAGCAGATGCAGTTGAGTTTTATGGGGATTTGGACCTCAGACTCATTGATTTATGTGAGCGGTGACTCATGTGACAGGCTGAGAGAAAGAGTAGAGATAGGGATACAGCAATCCCATCCTCGTGGTGATTACCCAAAAGTCACTGTAATGCTGGCAAGTGTGCTGTCCTGCTCATTCTCCTAGCCTTCCCGTTAACCTAATTCCACTGGACATGAATTTCATTGACCGCATTTCAAGTGAAGTTAGTTGATACTACAATATGTAGGCCACTCAGAGCATTTTCAAAACGCCAAATCTTGTCCTGAATTGCATCCAGAGCAGTTTGTCTCTCCTGCTGAAAATACCACGTTATAGGAAAATATAGATAGCACTTCTAGATTGTACATGTATGCAATTCTCTGAGGCTGGACAGCAAACTGTCAGAGTATGCTGTCACTGCTTCCTCCTGTCATCAGGGATAGAGCGCTCCATTGTCCTCATGACTCGCACCTTTGAACACAGCCAATTATGAAGTAAAAGATTCTCTTTTCAAGTGGTCATTTGGACGTTGCGTTACTCTGACAGTGGTTCTTAAAGTCAGGGATATTAAATGTCTATCATTCTCGAATCCATGGTGACTTTAGAGAAGTCTTGTTTTGACCCAGTCTCGTTAGGTTCAGACAGAAGTACTGCTTGATTGGATATGGAAGAGATGAAGGTTTTGACTTAAATAATACATCAACCGTGTTGTTGGCTTTTCAGGGGGGACAAGGTAGTCTCCTGGGTGAAAGAGAAACAGCTTGAAAGTGACTCACATGGAGCCTGATAATGAGTGCACTACAAGGTGTTCTAAACCACACCCATTGTGTGGATTAACTTGATTGGATGGAGTCCCTCAGCCTCTGGAGGCTTTCTTTTTTGCAGATATCCTGATAGAGTAATTCTGGCAATTTTTTCTTCTTCTGTGCCTTGCACATTGCTTGGAG